TAGAACTTATTTCCAAACATGATTTATCGTTTACATTTTATTCCATGTGGAGAATTTTTCATTAATTGAAACGTTAACGGGTTCATATACACTTCCATAATTAAATTGATAATATTAGGCTCTGTAAATTTTACGATTTGGCAATGTTGATTATTTTTATTGTTCCTATTGGTCAATCAAACAAGACGCGGGAATAGGGCCGTGACGTAACAACCGACCATATTCGATTTTTAATAATTAATTACGGGTAAACTACCTACGGCATTTAGAGAGATCAAACAAAGTGAATTGTTTTTCAATTCAAAATTTCTATCAAGTGAACTATAAACAAAAAATCATGATACATGCAATACTGAGCAACATTACTGTTGCTCAGTATTTTCAAACGATGTTCAACTTGTGTAAATTGTCGCTACGATTGCTAAGAAAATACACGATATACGATACAGCATTCTGTCATCACCTGAATCGTGCATAAATGCAGAGAGTGCGGAAAATAATTGGCATATGCGTGAGATTGAAAAAAAACTAACCGCGTCAGCTGGCGAATGGGAAATAAGTTAAATTCGCGATGATATCGGATTGTACTGAATTGATTTCTAAATAAGTGTGAAATATGTCTGACATATGATAGTTCTTGCGTAACAGGTGCTGGAGTTTTTTAGCACATTTTGTTTTTCAATGAATTTTGAATATTAAAACCATGTGCTTCACTCGGTAGATATAGCTTATCACTTTGGATAGTCTCAGTTCTTCCAAAGGTAACTATATAGTTTTCAATACATTGTTTTGTTCACATTGTTTATATATTTATTTTAATTGTGGGTACCATTGTTACCTAACATTTTGCAAACACTGTGCACTTTCATCATATAAAAATATATTTCACCAAAACAGACCTGAAAATACTCATAAATGCCTTGAGTCATATATATATACACAAAGGGCAACAATTATATGTCATTTAAATTTCGAAAACATAGAATTCGAACTTTTATTAAATAGGTCTGAAAAAGTTTCGAAACTGTCGATTGAGTTGTCGAATTAAGTTGAATAAGTTATTCACTGAGATATTCTTCTCATTCTTGATTCCATCGGAATAATTCAGCTCAGATATTTTTAGTATTTTCGTCCGAAACTCCACATTCACAAGTTTTCTCAAAAATTTTATTTCTGTCACTACCTCGATAATGAGTAATAGTGTTCGTAAATCAGTTCCGTTTCTACATGCAACCTTTAATGTCCCTCTGGGAAAGTTATCTCAAGCGTATACCGTTAATTTGTGAGTCATATGACAATATATTCCATAAACCATAAGCATAAACTTTCAAATCCAGTCTTGTTTTTGCATTTGCCTCGATTAATATTACCACAGTGCAGTAGACAGACTAGACTCGTTTTGTAAATTAGCCTCGATATTCAATTGAAATAATTATTCATTCAGGAAACACTTCATTGTGAGATTTTCAGTAAACAGTTCTATAAAAACGTAATACTTGTTTCGCTATACAAGAGATTCTTCAGGCGTGTATAGGCAAAGGTTCGTTTCCCGGATGTTTCTCATTCATCCAGTCTCAAGCACTTTGCTGGTCGACCACTGCGATACTCGTCTTGGCAGCTCATACGGCCTCGTTTAAACTCTGCTACCCAATATTTTACTGTATTAAACGAAGGAGCAGACTCACCCATAGTATAATTCAGTTCAGCTTTTATTGGGCTGTGTTGGGCTGAGGACTTTCGAATAAAAGTATTGTACCACATAACGACGACCAATTTTCTTAATTTTCACAAATTCACGGAAAACGTTTGCTATTGATGGCTGCTAAGCAAATACTAGACAACGCAGCGTCTTCAAACTTGAAACATATGCTTTATTCCAACTATGAGTGGAGTGAAACAGCACAAACAGGCATTCTGATGCCTAGGTGTATTTCACCCATTTGTAGTGGTTTTGACATAATATGATAATGACTAAATTTCACATATTTGTACTGAAAAATTGAAATTAATTTGTTTTGATATATTGTGTACCTACTTTATAATACAATGATATTTTTCAAACAACTACCGCCATCTCTAGGTCAGGCCGGGTACTTCTGGGAACACCCTCGTATTTATCGCAAGAAATTCCAGTTCTTCCTTTCATTCTAGGCGGGTGTTATTGTAGATCTGGTACCGAAACTAAAACGTACTTATTATAATTGTTATTATTCAGTTCATTGGTGCTTGTTAACGATTTTTCGAAAAAAGTTATACGGAACATTCCCACATTTTCATCTCGGCCATTCAATATATTTTACTGAATAAATCAGTTTACATGAAACATATTAACGACGCTGGCATTATGGGATATTGATTGCTTGCGGTAAAAAGAAAAACTATTCAAATTCAGTGAACCGGATGAAAATGATTATCGTTTTCGATGAAGGTGTAACGCCGGCAGGTAGAGAAGCCAAGTTAAATAAACCACGTGTCAAATTCAGCAACGCACGCTTCAAGAAGATTAAGTAGTTTGGTGAAAATATTATAACAGGGATGTTAATAAATGTAATCAAATAAAGGTATTAGCTTGTCTCGGAAGGGTAGTTTCCATTATAGTCAATAATGGCCATCTTCGATTATTACACAAAATGAATTTTATTTGGATGATGACTTGAACACAAATTTCCTCGTAGTAAAGTGCATCGTCGGCAGATGAAACGAGGTAAAACAAACAAAAAAAATAAAATCCGAGCAGAGAATTCATCTCGTCCTTCCTGTAAGCGAAAACCGGTTTAAGATGAGCACGCAGCGACTTATAACCCAAAGATTAAGATCGGTCGATAAATACGAACGAATAGTCTGGTCCAAAAGTGCGACTTTATCGAAAACCTAACCTCCATGACCAATCAAGGCGTCCGATGCGGAATGGCATTAAAAACTTTGCAAATGTTTCAAAATCTGAAATCTGAAAAAGGATACAACAAAAATGATAAAAAGCAAGAAAGTACCATCTGCTGGAATTGATAGTAAAACCAAATCATATTAGGAGAAAAAATGGGTATTATTCAGACTCGTACAATCCGTCGGAAAAAAAAATTACCGAACTTTTTCATTTAACTATTGGTTAATACTTGCTATTTGCAAGTTAAAATATAAAATATTTTTTTCATATTTCACCAAAGGGGGTCTTTTCAAAAGGCGTCAAAAAATATCTCCCAAAAGTAATGGAAACATCAGGTTTATGATTAAAAAATACAATTTTTGTCTTCAACATTTCTATTCAATAGGCTGCATACATTTTTATTTTGTTCAAGTGCCTGATTTGGTCTGAAGCACCTGTACCTGTTATAAGCCAGCAAATAAAACATAAAAAATCAAACCGCTATTTTTGTACTCAATAATTTATAACTTTTGCAATATTTGCAAGATGCCATTACGACTCCAATGATACCTTGATCTTATAATTTTCGGTCTTGAAGGTTAGGTTTTCAGATAAAATAGCACATGTGAACCAGACTATAAATTCAGCTTTACAGTTACCGATTTTATAATATTGTCGTGAACGAGAAATACAACAACCTGTTCCACTTGCAATACACAAACAAAACACTTCGAAATGCTGTCATTGTTGGAAAGGTGTCGGTGTACCACCGCACAACATTTGTTTGACATATGAGGAAACGATTTGTTACTTCCGGCAGAGTTGACTTGAAATCAGTTTTAATTAGTTTTCCGTTTAATTTGCTTATTAGGTAACGGTATGCAGGTGTTTCGGATTTCTGCGATCGAACGATAAATTCTGCAAAAATCAACGTGGATGCCAATGGATTCCCAGTACCCAACCCCGGATTCAAAGTGGGATTTGTACAGGGCGATCCAGCAATTAATCATCTAATCTAACCAATTATTTCATACAATCAGAAAGTTACTTAAGTTGATAATAAATAAAACATTCAGTATCAAACTACAAACGTATTCTAAAAACAATTCATTGTTAGATTTTCACTGTTTTTTGAATACGTTAGGTATGGATTTTCATAAAGTACCGGCCAATTCCATCATATATATTGAATTACTGTCCTTCTAAGGATACTTTGTCCTTTGATGATTTTTGATTGGGCGCTTTGTTTCGAAGATACGGGAGGAAAATTAATTTCGATTACAATACAATAAGTACGGCCGCCTGACTGAGTCATGGCCGGTGAGAAGCCGCTCCCTCAATATAGTAAGTACAGCTGCCGTACTGAGTCATGGCCGGTGAGAAGCCCCTCCCTCAGCGCAATAATTACAGCTGTCGTTCTGTCATGGCCGGTGAGAAGCCTCTCCCTCAATACAATAAGTACAGCTGCCGGATTGAGTCGTGACCGGTGAGAAGCCCCTCCAAGTACAACTGCCGGATTGAGTCATGACCGGTGAGAAGCCCCTCCCTCAGTACAATAAATACAGCTGCCGTTCTAAGTCATGGCCGGTAAGAAGCCACTCCCTCAATACAATAAGTACATCTGCCGGACTGAGTCATGTCCGGTGAGAAGCCCCTCCCTCAATAAAATAAGTACAGCTGCCGGACTGAGTCATGGCCGGTGAGCAGCTCCTCCCTCAATACAATAAGTACAGCTGCCGGACCGAGTCATGGCCGGTGAGAAGCCCCTCCCTCAATACAATAAGTACAGCTGCCGAACTGAGTCATGGCCGGTGAGAAGCCCCTTCCTCAATACAATAAGTACAGTTGCCGGACTGAGTAATGGCCGCGGAGAAGCCCCTCCCTCAATACAATAAGTACAGCTGCCGAACTGAGTCATGGCCGGTGAGAAGCCCCTCCAAGTACAACTGCCGGATTGAGTCATGACCGGTGAGAAGCCCCTCCCTCAGTACAATAAATACAGCTGCCGTTGTAAGTCATGGCCGGTGAGAAGCCCCTCCCTCAATACAATAAGTACAGCTGCCGGATTGAGTCATGACCGGTGAGAAGCCCCTCCCTCAATACAATAAGTACAGCTGTACAGCTGCCGGACTGAGTCATGGCCGGTGAACAGCTCCTCCCTCAATACAATAAGTACAGCTGCCGGACCGAGTCATGGCCGGTGAGAAGCCCCTTCCTCAATGCAATAAGTACAGCTGCCGGTGAGAAGCCTCTCCCACAATACAATAAGTATGTATGTACGATTTCTCCCACCGGCCATGACTCAGTCCGGTAGCTGTAAGCTGGGACGAGTCGCTACTTGGTTTTTCAACATAAGAACATTCAGAACAAATGACGCACTATATATAATCTTCATATTGTTGTCTTTATGGGCAACTACACCCTCATCCTGTTTATCAAACAAATCGAGGTTCAATTGTAACTATTCGACATCATCAGTTTTGGTGGAGGATGTCGACTACACTTGGGTTTAAAGAAACTTGCTCCTCCACCAAAAAGTTGCTTGAAAAATTACAAACGTTATTAGTCTACCCTGCGAAAACGAGCAAATTAGAAAAGGTTTGACACCCATGGGCATAGAAATTACAAAAAAGGGACCTTCAACATTCAAGTCTCTGCAACGTGCTTCTCTCCAAATTATAATTCGATTAGGTTTCGTTTTTAATCATTTGTTATTTTTCTTTCTATATGAAATTTTTGTTTCAGGCCGTAACGAACTTATAGCGAGATATATCAAATTGAGGACAGGAAAAACAAGAACGAGGAAACAAGTGAGTTCACATATACAGGTTCTGGCGAGGCGAAAACTACGAGAAATACAGGCTAAACTGAAAGTTGTAAGTATTAAGTTAATTACATCTGAATGGATTATAATATAAGACTATTCCGAAACATTTTTCAAGTCATCAGGGATACCATTAATTACATTTTTTCTTTATTTACTCAGTTCCCAATCGCTTGTGTTTCCTTCAGTAATTGTTTTGATTGGAAAATTCCAATTTGAAAATCATATATCAACTTTTGAAAATTTATTCCGCGAACTGGGCATATTAGAATTGAAAATATTTCAACCAGGTTCCGTGATATTCCGAAGACAGATAATATACAGTTCAGACTAATAATAAAAACTTGTAACTATTTTCAATTTCACATTATAATTTCTCATTAACCTTTATCTATATATACAACTATCCAAGGCACACATATTTCTATTCATAATCGTATTTTTATGTATCAGTGAAACAGTTCATTTGCAGGGAATTATATCGTGTTTAAACCGCTGTTAGTTCATAATGAGTTGTTAATAATTACAAACCTATTACAAATTATATGGGCGATTATCAGAGCGTAAAATTGTTCCCCTCTTTGTTCTTGCAGAATTGATACTGTCGCAAAAAAAATTAATGTCGATGCAGTTTGATATTTTTTGTACGGATTTAATAGCTAAATCATTATCTGTCATTGTTGTTTTATTGGCTACAACTTTGAAAGGTATTTATTATTGGTTTTATTGATTTCAAATTAATTGTACGGTTATTTATTCTTCATTAATATTCCACACCAGCAATTTTTACTCGAGATATGATACAGAAAAATTGCGGTGCTTTTGTTTGTATTTTTGAAAACAAACAACCTGATAACTGCTGTCTTTGAGTGGTGTTCTAAAGACGGATTTCCAACAAACGGACAAAACCAAAATAAGAAACATTTTGACAACTCCCATCGGCACGCGGAAAGATCAGAAGGTTTCGGTGTTTCGTCAGAGTTCGCTATAACAAGAAGCAACAATTCATTTCACTATTTTGTTTTGATGTGACATTCATCTCTTAGTCATCATTTATTAAATATGCCATAATATTATTTCTTCCATAATCTATTCGTCTTCTTAACAAGGAACTCGTCCAGTATCTCAGTTTTTTTTTTGGCTTTCGATCAAAGATTCGATTATGAAAAAAACGCAGGTCATTATAAAAATATCGTTTTTAGAAGGCATGAGGAAAACTGTTCGTGTAGTGTCGTCTGTTTGGTGGAAGTAGAGTTTCGAGTTTTTGTATTCGAAACTGAAACAAGTTTTTTGTTTCTGTTTTTGAAAACGAAACTAGTCGCAAGCGAGTCCGTTCGGTGGAAATCCACCTTAAGTAATTATTCATACATTCCTTAAATTTTTTATTATTATGTGAGGGTCGCCTTTTAAGTTTTCACAAATGAAGCAACACTTTTTTTAAAAAAAAACTTGTTTGTTTTTAGATTCATACACTTTTGCATCAGTTGAAACCAATTTATGGAAAAAAAATTTCAATCTGAAGTAAATATCTCGAAAATATAGTTTTGGAAGGCTTGTTAAGATGACAAAACCCCATTTTGTGTTCAACATATGGGAAAGAAGTCGTAGACGATGAAGCAGGAGAATAAGAACAATAAATTCAATGTTTCCTCTTTCAAATAATCAGTTGTTTTCGCCTTATTCCCGAGCGGAAGTATCAATTTTTCAACTAACAAACCCACGTATTTAGACGGTTTTTCAGGAATAACTCAAAGAATAATTCATAGTAAAAATGTAGCTTATGTAAAAATAAAAAGAATGGTGTGTTTATGGTGTCTGTATACCAATACAAACGAAGTAAGTTTGTTGGTAGTTGGTTCTTATTCGTTAACGTCCAAAACTATTTTGGTTTCAACGTGAATCAACCAATAAACGATACGTTTCGCTGGAGAAATTCATCGAACATTTTTTTGGAGTGTTCAAATTGATAATTTGGACATAAAGGAACCAACAAGTAATGCCCAGGCTGATTCTAGGGCGATAAAGGGCGAATTCTACGAGTATTATGATGCTGCGATGCCAGATTTCTGTAGTATGTAGTGCCGTCAAAGGATATTTGTAAAAACATAAAAGGCAACCCTAGTAAAATGAGTTTAGTGTACTATGAGTGCTCTGTGTATATGTATATTCTGCCTTCAGTCCCTTTCCGTACATGTTTCTCTATTTTTCATTTCGAAAACTGCTTGGATGCTTGGTGATGGGTATCTACTGCTAAAACTTAAAAAAAATCTTGATACTGCACAGTATGCTGGGGATAAAAGGATCACATAAATCTGTATTGCAAGCGCAGTTATATTACTAAGGTCTCCATCTGCTTCAAAAAAGATTTTTTGGTTTTTGTGCCCTATTGATTCATTGATCAATGTAATCTGGCAACATTAGCCCTGCTCCGGCCTGGTTACCGGCGTGAATAACCCTCATAATACAATCTCCAATTTTATGTCTGGTGCTGAGTCTCCGATATTTCACTATCTATTTTTCTTTTCTGTCACTTCTAGATCATCCTTCATTTCAACCTTTTCTCCATTTCCTTCAGTTCCTGATAAAGATTTAGTCAACCTGTCTGCAACTGTTTCAGTTTTTCAATATTCCAATTTCAATATTTTTCAACTTTGCGTTTTGTTACAATAAATTTTTTGATCTGTTGCCTGATGCTATTGTACCTTTGCTTTTTGTAATTTCTATGTCGGTTTCATTAATTTTTTGGTATATGCAGTATTCCTACATTTCTTCTTCTTCTACTGTTCCAAAGGCTACGTTGAAACTCCGAATGTGAACACCAACTAACATCTTCTTCAATATTCCTTTCTAACGGTCTTCTTGGAATCCGATTGTTAGTATCTGTTTGGTTTTTTCATCTCAATGAGTTCAAAATGCGCATCATCCAGCATTTCTTTCGGGTGCTTTTTTACACATGGAAATAATGTTCACCATAGTTGAAGAGAGCTGGCAGTACCAGTAAACCAGAAGCGTTGTCAGTTTTCACATTTTGCTTTGACAGTTAAGAAGCCATCTGTCCTGAAATAAAAAGTTTTGTAAACTCATTGATAACATAAGACAACTTTCCAATGGAGCTTAGAGTCTAAGGCCTTGCGAAACATTACACAAAATATTTCATTAAAAATAATAAATACATTGTCAAAATTGTGAAAACCGTGATAAGGGATCACAGAATTAGACCCAGCATAAAGTCAATAGATAGTTTTATCTGAATAATGTGGAGAAAAATTGAATTGAAGAAATTTATCTTTAGCCAGATGAGCAGCCCTAGGAACTCTTTGTGGGCTAATTACTTTAACAGTATCAACTGCAATATCTTCAATATTCAGAGATGGTAAAATCATATTGTGATCCTTCTAAACTCCGTTTATTCAAAAGAGACCTTAATTATGTATCTGCCTACCACTTGCTCTTCACCTCGGTGAGGAAATTTGCTTCAGTAACCCCCTTGGTGATGATACATTTGATTTGATAGAATCACGTGGCCAATACCAAGTTCAATATCTTCAATATTCAGTGATAGATTCTTGAGCATGACACATGTTAAAATATTGTGATCTTTGTAAACTTTGCTTGTCCAAAAAGACCTTGCTCTAAATATGTTGTCCTCGGTGAGAGAATTCGCTATATTAACCCCCTTGGTGATGGTAAATTTAGATTAGTTGGATCACGTGGCCAATACCAACTTCAATATCTTCAATATTCAGTGATAGATTCTTGAGCATGTCACATGTTGAAATCATATTGTAATCCTTCTGAACCCTGCTTATCCAAAATGACCTTGATAATGTATCTGCCTCAAATGAACCACATTTTACTCTGTCACCACTTGCTCTAAATATATTGACCTCGGTGAGAGAACTCGCTATATTAATATTCTTGGTGATGGTAAATTTGATTTGCTAGGATCACGTGGCCAAAGAGAAGGCACTCCAGACGATGTCGAGCATGTCGAGTGCACAGATAGTATCAGCTACTACCGCAATACACAGCAAGTCAGCTGGTCTGAATATCGGTCTATCTCATAACCCTGTTACCTATCCCGGAGCGGTAAGTTATCCCTCTTTCGTGCGAAGGTCGAAGACTGTCCTGCGTCCAGCTTTCTGTCCCTATTTCCTTCCTTCAATTCCATTTTTAGACTTATGACGGCGATTCGAAACGTATCCTGGTTGTAGAGAATGATAATGTTAAAAAAAGTATGTCAATGATTGAAAATGATAATAATGGTAGTTATGATATTGACTTCAGTTAATATTCATCCTTCTTGAAATTCCAGCTCAGTTTGTAGCAGACAACATTGGTATTTTTAACAAATTTTGTTTTCATATATTAATATAAGGAGTGATTTTGGAAAAAAATTGTTGAAGATGAATTGAATCTTTATGTATATATGTTATATACATAAGTTCTATTCAATTACAATCATTCCGCTTCAGTCCATTTAAAAGGTGATATTTCATCAATAATAATGAATAACTATAACACCGTTCTTTATATAGGTAACTTGAAAGGAGGAAATTTGGTATTATTTTATCTTTCAATGAGAGTATGATGTAAAACATACCGTTTGAATTTTTTAATGTGCTGTATATATTACACTCATAAACGTTATGAGTTTTCCTAGTTCTAGAACAAACAAGAAACAATAAATTTAATACATATTCAAAAGCGAACACAAATATGAATAAACATTATGAATGAAAAATGAAAACAGCCGTGTTTGAACCTCACCTGTGAAATTTTGTGGTTACATTTGGATTGCTTCAGTTCATAAACTCCGCAAATTTTCACCATATTTGGTTTGTTTCTATAAAATAACACAATGTCACATAAAAATAACTCACAAACGAAGCAAATCGTCTTGAACGAGAACAAATACGAAGCGAAGTTATCGACACAAGCTAAGAACGTACATACCGAAATAAGTATCCGTATGATGGAACAAAACCGAGTATTCATGAAAACGGTCGATCAGATCTGACTTTATTATGATACTGGCCCTATGTAAATAAAAAATCGTTGTGAATGTTCCAGTTCCAGGAAAGATAAGTCCTCTCTAGATATTTAATCGCTCTGAGAATGCTACAGATTGGCCGCCATGATCACCAGATTTAGCGCTCCAGATTTACATAATGCGATGATATTTGAAATATGGAATCTTTGGGCAATTTGTTGAAATATATTGACATCATCAGCACTTGATATTTCAAGCCTTTTTCCAAAGAACTATCCACGTTTTTTCTTTAAGATCTCACTCACTACAACCCCACATAGAAGATTTCGTACCGTTAGTAGCTGGGAGTTAATAAAAATCGGCTCTTGTTGAAAATTGGCTTATAAAATACCTCATACATTCTACAGTCATACATTCTGAACCTCTCAAATTGTAACCTACTATTTTCCGACCACCCGATCAATTTAGTTCCTTGTCATATTCTGTTAATTCCTGTTCCTTCCTCTGAAGCTTCCGCATAGTTGCTGTTTAAGAACGATAAGCGTAGAAAAACTAATCTCGTTGTGCCTAATTCCTAAAGGCTTACTTGCTGTGTGTTGCTAGATTGTCGCTAATTAAGCTTGTTTTTTTTTAACAAAAATGTTGCTCTTCTCTAGATTATTGAAAATTCATATTTTAGCGGATCGATTTTTATGTATACAATGCTTTGGGATGTTAATTTGTTGTGTGTTTTTTTATTTCAGCAGTTCTGGCAACCTGGATTACAGCCTGGAACCTCTCAAGAGTAAGTGAAATCTCGATCATTATACGAATAACATAATAATTAGGTTTTGGACATAATCAAATTGTATGTATGTACAATCTAGACCAATGTGGAAAAATTTAGGAAAGGTAGAAGTTTCACATATTTCAATAAGCTATCCTATTTGTTATTTTGGCTTAAACTCGAAATTCCTACTCTCATTTTTTCGTTCCAACATTGTTGTTTCCTGAACGTCCCGTGAGTAACCATGAAATTTTATTTTGTGCCGATCCCTACTTGGTTGAAGTAGTTCTTTTTCAAGTGTTCGCTTCAAATTTCGAGTAGCCATTAAAACATGTCCTGTTAACGTTGTTCTCTAGTTTTTCCCCTTCTGTCTTACTCTTCCTTTTAGAATCATAGTTCTCATTTCAGTTTCTCTTTGCTTTTTAGTTTTTTTCTTCTTTCTTGTCATTTTGGCTTCATTTCTGGCCTTTCTTTCTTTTAATCCTTTGTTTCCTCTCAACTTTTTGTTTTTTTTAACTCAAGAACTTCCTTCCTCTTGAAGATGATCACTCGGTGATCGAAACACGTGTCGAGGTGTAAAAATAACGATTTGGTGTTGGGAAAAAACTCCAGTAATATTCAAGAATTCACTTACGCTATTTCACCGCTAGGGCAAGCTTTTCGCTCATAAACCCAAAAAACATTTTGTCAACTGAGTACATAATCATCACTGCCTAATCTAGTTTCGAATGCTATTTTTTTTAAATTCCTTACTCCTTCTTCACTTCGTATTCTTATCAACATTATATAGTCTTCTATGGTTTCTTCAACAGATCAACATTTGATTTCAGTGTCAAACCCTTCGCCCAGGCAGCTTACCCGGCAGGAAAACCGGCAACTGCCGTTTCGGCTGGCGACGTGGGAGCCTTACAGACCGCCCCTCCTCCTGTTTGGGAAGGAAGAGCCATCGCCACTCACAAACTGAGGCTAGTAGAATTTTCTGCGTTCATGGAATCGCAAAACAGAGAAGAAGCAGTAAGTATCTTCATGGAGGTCTTCGATTATGGTTCGACCACCTCTTCAGCCAAATTTCAAACATATTGACCAATTTTTTTCATATCAATATCGTGAGTTCTAATGATTGTATTTTCTTCCAGTATCAGAAACACCTGTTTGTACACATAGGTGGACCAGCGTTATCTTATACAGACCCCCTTTTGGAAGCGGTCGACGTCCGGCAGATATACGACAAATTTCCCGAGAAGAAAGGTGGTCTCAAAGAGCTGTATGATAAAGGGCCGCAGAACGCCTTCTTTCTCGTCAAATTTTGGGCTGACCTCAACTCCAATCTTCTAGACGAAGCAGGAGCTTTCTATGGTGTCACCAGCTCGTAAGTAATTTTAGACTTTCATTGAATTATATAAAAATTATTGAGAAACGTTAACTTCTATCTAAGTTTTTGATACCAAAAGTAGACTTTCTTGGAACATTTGCGTTCAGCCTCTTTCAACTATGATTTGTGGCAGGGCAGAAGTTAAATAAAATCGTTTTTGTTTCAAAATATAGTCAATACTTTCGATGCTTTGAAAATCCAAACTTTCAAATTACAAAAACATACTTATTGATATTCCTCATCTAATGAATATTGCTAATCTCAAGTGCGTATCTCTCTGAACTTTTTGGAAGAATGTGTTGAATTATTCAAAAGAGTAGAAGGGGTTATATTTTTTAGGAGTGATTAATTTTTGGGGAAAAAATTTTCTTTCTCAAAAGAGTAGTTATGAATAAACGTCATTTCTTTATTTTTCACGTAAGATCCGTTTATTGAGGCATTCATTTACATATAAATCTCAGACTAAACTAGGTAAACTTTTCCAACTCTTTGTGATTTCTGCTATTATTGTTTCTCAAATGATACTGGTCAGAAAATTTGTGGTTTTTACACAATTAAGTGTGTTTCATATATTGTTTGTGAAAACTCATTTACGGCTGCGTTGTACTTTTTATTGCTGCAAATGGGTAAACGAATTGATTTTAAAGATCAGTGAGATGATTAATAAGAAAAATGTGAAATTATAATGTTCAGCGATCTGAAAAAAAAATCATTTGTTTGCAATCAAACATATGATATTATTTCTCAGTGGCTCCATTACTGAATACGAAATATCTTTGGCAAATAGGAAATTACTTTTCTCCTATCATGCAGCATTGACTTCAAGTAGTCAAGTTATCCAACCTTTTATACAGAATTCCTTGTCAAAAATATGGGGAGTGAATGAAGGTAATTTATGTTCTAACCCAAAACAGTACCTCAAAGTCACCTTGCCTGCGTCATGTGACGTATGTCAAGGTCATTCAAGGTCAAACACAAAACCTTCCTCAAAGTAAACCTTGGCTACTTCGTGTGACGTATGTAGAGGTCTTTTCAAGGTTGAAAGTGGTGGGGGGGGTTTCCAAAATCGGCTTAAACCAACTACTACAGTTGACAACAGTTGAGCAATACGAAATTAATACAACTCAAGTTTTAAGGATCAGAAAACGATGGAGAAAATATAGTAGCCCCCTTTTAATACTTACTGAAAACGGACAAGAGTGTGCATAATTTAACTTTGAAAACTCTGTAGACTAGGCATAATATTTCTCATTATAGATTCGATAGAGCTGTTCAGGAAAACATTACGATGCAATGATGAAGAGGTCCCATAAAAAAAATTAATGGATATTAATTGATTTCTGGGGAACGATATTAATTACTTTCATTATTATTTTCATTTCCAGGTACGAAAGTAATGACAATATGACGATAACGTGTTCGACGAAAGTATGTTCTTTCGGCAAACAGGTTGTAGAAAAAGTTGAAACCGAATACGCCCGTTACGAGAACGGAAGATTTGTATATAGAATACATCGGAGTCCGATGTGCGAATACATGATAAACTTCATCCACAAACTGAAACACCTACCTGAAAAGTATATGATGAATAGTGTTTTGGAAAACTTTACAATCCTTCAGGTGAGTCGATTTCCAGATCTCAAACGAAATCTATGTTCATTTTTTTTGTATTTGTGACTTGTGAATTACTTCAAATTATAAAAACGCCTTGCATTCGCCTATAGTTAACAGATATATAAAATCTTCGAAATTGAAAAACATTTCATATTTTACTGTAAAAAACGATGAACTGGCTATTGAAATATCTTGTTTTTAATGTTGTCAAAGGAGTTCAAGCCTCTATCTATAACTTTGAATGAATGCGATGTCACCATTGTTTGAGAAGTATAGATTCAGATCAGATGAAAACGGATCAGACTTGGTGTTAAATGTATAATTCGATTGGCTATACTGCACTTAGAGTTCCTCAGGTGTTTCTTCACAAAGACTGAAATCAATCAATTGGTTTCAGCAATGTTCTACCACTGAATGAATCAAAACAATCTCCAAAAATTTCCTGTGAGGAAACTTGCTCATATTTCTGTCTGATATAATTCAATGTCCGCCAAGGTATTAGCCAGGAATGTAAGGAGAGGTGAATGCTTCAAATTTCAGGTTTTTTTTGTATGTATCTATCTCTTCCAAAAACAGTTGTCAGTGGTTCCTGTTAGAGTGTTGAAGATCAGAATGCTTCTTCTCCGCTTGGAGTTTTGTTCACGAAATTAAACTATTTCACTATAGTTTGAATATATCCTACCCCAGACGATGGTCAATTGATTCTAGCAAGAACCTGCTGCTGGTCGAAAGAGGAAAGTCTGCAATAATTCTCTCTGCGAGAAAACTTGCACACATGTCTGTCAGATATAATCCAACAAAAGTCGTGGTTTTAGCTAGGGAAACAGTTGTTAATACTGGATAGAACTGTGTAGGAACTTTCTGGGAGATGAATGTTTCGAATTTCTATTCAAAATATTTATATTCTCAGTATGTTTGATGTTCACCTTTCCACAAATTCCGAAATATAAATTTTGCCCCCCCAAAGCTCAGTGAATTTACTATTGTGAACTGGCTTCTTGTCTTCTCTACTGTACAAGATATAAAGGAGGTTTCTCAAATGCTGCAATAATCCTAAACAAGCAAGAATAAACCATGTGTCAAGTAATAACAGTGGTTTTTTTCATCTTTGCTCACCAAACTGAAAAAGAATGCATTATAACGGGTTGTACCGCCATTGAGTATAGACAATACATATCTGGTTTTACTCTCCATATTTCCCTTAAGTAGGTCTGGCTAGCAACAATGCTACCAGGTATTCAACCTCCTACAGGCGTTTCTTCATCTCAGAATTGTAGAAGTCATGGTCCCTCTAAGTCTCTATGTGGTCCTTTCAGTGAATGCTATTATGGTCGATTTTAATGGAGATGAGTTGAGCTCTTCTTTGAGTCGTCTTGTTATTATATTATATGTTATGTCCATCCATAAAGGTGTGGACAAGACCCCTCCTGAAGTTGATCCCTTGCTAACCATGCTCATGCTTGTGCTACCTGTCCCTCATAATGGTCTTGCAGACCAATCTTCCTCTGAGCATGAAGTATATCAACATTCAGCTTGTGTTTTAGATATCGCTTCTCCATGCTTGGATGACTGATTCTGTAGAGTAGGGAGGGTTCAATTGCATCACTGGTTGCCTGCAGCAGAGTTTGCGCAGTAAGCGTTTCTTGCCATAGGCTTAGCCTCAATTGACCCATTCCTACTTCGAGGTTTCCACCAGCCGTGCGCAATAGTAAAAGTCATATTATTCAAAGCCTCCTCAACATGTAAGAAAGTAAACATATTTTGCTTTTTCGTAACCCAACATAAATTCCTCTAAGGTTCTGGTGTTAGATTTGTAATTTCTGACACATTAAAGTGCATCTAGAAAAGCTCTTTTATGGTTTCTCTTCCTGTTTTTGTGTAGTCCCTGAAGTCCCTTCGAGAGTATTTTGTAGAGCCTGGCACATGCTTGGATTTGTCAACCTCCTTCCATTGCCTCATCTACGAGTAGATTTTCTTGCGGCTTTGAATAGAGCTTCATTTAAAAAAATATATAAACGCAATAAACAACAATCATCAACAGTATCAACACAAGCTGGTACTTTAACAGATTTAAAATCAATCATTCAATTAAAATCGTACACATATATGATAGGTAGCAACAAAATGAAAATGAATTAGATATTATACATAAAATTGAAATTAAGTTTGATGATTTAAAGTTATGGACCTTTTATATTGGTCCATATATTTCATTTTCTTGCACTTTCAAAGGCATTTGTAATTGGTATCCCCTAAACAGGTCTAACTCACAGGCTTTTTCAATTTTTTTTCTGGAGATTTTGATAAGTTATGGCCGAGGATTTCAAAGTTCACATGCCGATGATCTGAACAAATTTTCTCATCAGACAAATTCTATTCATGAACACAGTTACTTTTAAATGTAGTCCTAATGTTAGATCTATTACAGTCCTACGTACCATGTTTCAAAGGTAAATTTATCACCTACATTTAAGAAGTCCTAAATGTTTGCCTCTTGTAGTAAATGCTTGCTTTCCAAGTGAGGTGGTTTGCATTGACAGTCAACTATGAGCTACGATTTGTCTGCTTAGCAGGCCTTCACTAACTCTTCTACATCCCTGGTTTTTGGTAGTTCCTGATTAGTAAGGGAGGTAACGATTTCCTCAGGTCCTGGTCATCTTCATTTTGACTTTGAAGATAGCAATAAAAATCTTCCTTATTTTTTTTGGGGGGGAAATACTTTGCATAGTACTTATATTCATTGTCATCATTACTGAATTGAATTAATGACAACTGACTTTTGTTTCCAGGTTGTGAGCAATAGAGACACTCAAGAAACCCTCTTATGTACAGCCTACGTATTCGAGGTGTCGACATCAGAGCACGGAGCGCAGCACCACATCTACAGGCTCGTGAAAGACTAGCGGGTTATCGGTGAAACCTTAACCTACCACTTCAGTGCCTACACTCTCACAATACTAGTATTATTATTGGTTACATACTCCTTAAGTAAGTAGCTAGATGAAAACAATACGAATTGCCATTTGAAGAAGGTATCTAAAGCTACTTTTAAAATCTTGGGATCATCTCGAGTTCAAATCAATCCGGTTATTTTTCAGCTCCGCTCGTTCTGATTAAATCTACATAGTTTGTTTCTATATATAATAGTTTTTATTTTATCCGCAGCGTACTTCTAGTTTTGTAGTTTTTTTCCCTAATTTGCCAGGTTGTTCAGTTGGATACTTATCTTTTGTTTTTTCCGTTTGGAAACGATACGGCCCAGTTATAATTTTGGTAGGTCTTGCCCGCTTCTTTATTTTGTACAAAACTTCCAAATATTTATTGTTCTCGTTTTGGGACTTACTCTGCGGCATCTCCAAGTGCGTGGCAGGCTCGGCACAAAGTGGCCCGTAGATCAGCAGAAACTATTTATTGTAAAAAAAAGTCAAGATTGATTTGATCTATGCTCCACTTTTCGTATCATGAATTTTTTTACTTAGATTAATTTAAGTTAGAGTTTGCTATTTGTGATGATAATTTTTAACAGTTTTATATATACATATATAGATAGATATACATACTTAGATTTCTATTCGATTTTTTCGAGAATAAAATACCCAGTATTTTACTTATTTTAATTTTTTCGCCAATAATATTGACATAGCTTTAGATGATGCGTCTCCACGAATCCCGTCCGATTTACCTCTGAGAGGGTTGGGCGGGAAATTCAACTGGAAGGTGGAGAATACTTGACCTTTGTGTTCAATTTGGCAGTCTATTTTGCCGAATAAATTACCAAATGAAATTCTTTGTGAAATTTGTGCAGAACGTTCAATTCCACCCATAACCTGTAATACGTCAATGTAATACATATTTTGGGTAATTCTCTGAGGTCGCACCTTGTGATTTCTACACTCAACTATTTCTTATTTAAAAAAAATTTATTATTTATTGCTTGTAAGCAATATTATTATTGCTTGTAAGCAATTTTCAAAAGCCACTTTACATTTACTCAATTGCAAGCAAATTGAACACTTAGTGACCGTTTTGGTGACCAACATTCTAAAATTTACCAGATTCAATAAAAGGTTGCAGATATCTTCTTTTTCGTACATTTGAATTAGTGAATTGTTAAAAATTAGTTTCAAAACAGATCCAATATTAACATATTTCATTAACATGTATTAAATAAAACCATACAATTAATTGCTGCAATGTGAAGCAATGTGAAACGATCCTTCAATGTGCAGAACATTGCATGCAAGTTTCCTCAATTTTACTGCCCAAATCTAATGCGGCTTCGAAACGTTCCCACACAGTAGAATCTGTAGCGCACATTTCATTTTTTTTTAATAAAAACGGTTAAACAAAGAAATACTTATTTATAAAGTGTGATGTGAATGAAAAATATTCTTTGAGGTCAATGTTTTTCGTTTTTCTTGCTTTTCAAGCTTTCACAAACTGAAAATAAATTAATTCAGTTCAATATAGAATTTATCCAACCACAGTAAAGGCAAACAAAAAAGTTTACTTTGAAAAATTACTGTGATAAAATTTTGTAAGAAAAAAGACCAATTAGTAGTTCGTCAGGGAAATACGATATAATTTTAACTAAACAGAAAAAACTTCACTATTTATCTGTAAATTAGAGATAGGAAATATTGGGGAAAAAACTAAGGAATTATTTCTACATCAACTTCAGTCGAATTTGAATTATGAATAATTATTGAATTACTTGTCATTCTTCATGTGATAAACTCTTGTTACTGGCCAATTTCGAAATGCTAAGAGGTTTTCTAAGTTTACAGATTGAGAATATTCAAAAATTGCCAAATTATTGTTGGGTCAATTTAGTCTGACTGATCACTGTCTCATTAATATTTCCAAATATGTTGGGTGTTCTTCTCACAAAGGGTTTTTGCATATTTAATTTTTGTGATATTTTTCGAATTGAAGTCTCAGAAATTGTTTTTTTTTCTGTTGTAAAAACATAAAGTATTCTCAGGTTCTGTTCTTCAATTTTTATATCGAATTTTAAGAAAATGTCATTTCCCGAACAACTCATAAAATTCAGCTGTCATAATATAAACACATTACCCCCAATATGTAATTTAACCGAACAGGAAGCGTGAATTGAATGTTCTGATTTTGGTGTATTCACACTGATCTGTGCATAGTGCAATCAAAAAAAAGATGCAAAAGATTGTGAAAACATCATAAAATATTTTACAAGTTTGTTACAAGTGGCAATGTTTTTGATCTCTGATTTAGTCTTTGGAAATTATTGTTTGATAGGTGTATTACGCAATTTTTGGTAGCTTTTATTTTTATTATAAGACCGAAAATACAATAAAACATAATAATGTGACTATCCTGAATCTAGACAATTGTTTAAAGCACTGACACAATGTGTCTTCTGTGAAGATGAAGAGTTATTTTTCGAAAATTAACAAAACATAGTAAATTGTAAATGTTTCAGATTTGTACGACTCAATAGTGGAATATAGAGTATGTAAAAAGTGTCAGTGTGATGAGTAATATTGTAAATATATTTCTATAAGAATATGGCGGCTATAAATATTTTTATCGTCTTAACATGCAGATATAAGGTTCTTTACGAAGTGTGCTATATTTAAATGAGATTTTTTATCCATATCTAGAAATGCCATATCAAAGGAAAAATATTGAATCTTATACTTTTGCTCTTTATGTGTACAGTATTTTAAATCAGGTTTATAATTTGTATTGAAAATTATAAAAATTTGAAGATATGAGTTGTTTCATTTCATGTGCCAAAAAGAAATCCAAAGAAAATTATGTCTTTATATAAATTCTTGACAAAAAAAACAATCCTAAAAAGTTCAATAGTTGCAGCTAAACTGTTACACAGGTCAAAGAATGTAAAAAGATTTAAAGAAAGATAAAACTACCTGCTTCAACTTTCACTTGGATCACAGTATAAAGATAGATTACTTTATACTGGGCTTGTGTCAAATGATATTTATTCATTTTGAGTAAAAACCCTTGAACAAGCTGATTACATATTCAACCCCAATCACCATCTATCATCCAAAGGCCTAAGTTTTCAGTAATTATTATTTTGAAGGATTTTCTAGTGACCGGCAGGTAGTAGCACATAAACAGAAACTGGTTCTTGTAAGCGTGTATTGTCATTGTCTATAGACAATGGTATTATCACTACTTTCACCAAGATGTTGCTCCCAATTCACATTTCAAAGAGGTATGAATGAAATATTCAAATAATAATCATAAGGCTACATCATTGATTCCCAAAACTTGTAATTAAAATTAGTAACTTATACTGCCACCTTTGGCGCAAAGGATAAATTAAATTTTACCCATTTTAAAGAAACCTGTAATCTTCCTTAATTGTAATGCATGTTTTCTCAAAAGCCACCAGATGTCAGAAGTTCAAATAATTTATCTTTATAATTTATGTATCCAATGATATACACGTAAAAAGGATTGCCAATTTGTTAATTTTTAATTTAAATCTCTCTCTAACACAAAATTCTATGAAAGATTCTAGTGGTATTCAAATGATTTCGTCTACCAAGCAGTACACTTCTTTTAGCTAATAAGAAATGTTTTTTTCCGCTTACTTTTGAAAAGTCAAAGAACTATAGTTCGATTATAGACAATATATATGAAGAATAATACATTTTTGATTCGAATTGTGCAAATGTTTTAAACTTTCCTTTGATATTTACACGTAACTAAATTTTCTCAACTGCAGCAGTATTAAGTTACACAGTGTATCTCATGATTGATGTTACAAAGAGGTGTGATAGACCAAAAAAAAATTGAATTTTATTTCAAGATTGTGGGATTAGGTTCTACTTAGTGAGAAATCAATTATGAGAATATTTTCAGTTTTTGAAAAACAAGTAGGGTACTATGGTGAAATGAATACTATTGTATTTTCAGGTGAGTTATTATTTTCATCGTGTTATGTTGAAATGCTACTAAGGAAAGTTGTTCAGGATGATGAATTCTATGCAAAATTTCAATAATGTTCAACCAATTTGAGTAGATAGATTAAACAAAATAAATTTTAATTACTTACGAATACAATTCATAGAACGTAACACTATAATTGTAGTAGTAATTGTAGGTAACCATCTGAGGGTGGTGTTGTAAATCATCCCCTGAAAAAAATAACGCCGGCCGCCGCTGATCGTCGTAAATCTATTGTGAATAAGCCAAGTTCGCGCTCAACTCGACTTGCGCTTCGCGATTGTTCTAGATCTCGCGTCGCTTCGAGATACCTAGCGATTTCTCTGTCAGCTTCCAGAGACTTCCATTGCGATATATAAACACTACCAATAGGCAGGTGGAGCCAGTCTAGTTAAAAGTGCGGTACGAAGTGATGTAACAAGGCGATGGACATTCGAGTATTAGTCTTCATGCAGTTAGTTAAATGTAACTGCACAAAGCGGCCAATTATTGCCAAACCCACGGGAAAAACGTAACAAAATTTAATCAAAGTATACTTCCATTGTTATCTGCGATTGACTTGTAAATACATTATGTTCAACCTACATATATCAAATTTATATGTATTGATTAATCTAAATTTCTATATGGTTTAAACGCCATAAAAAATATTGGTTTATTCAAAGTAGCCAAATCTTTTCAAAATTTTGTGTATATCCTGAAATTTACTCATTAACATTTCGACATATGAACAAAAAGAAGTGTGCGTTTCGGGACGCCAGACAAAAGTGATAACTTAAACTAATCTAAGTTGAACTATTCAATATTGAAATTGTTTAACTTGAGAAAAGCTTAGGTTTTTACTTAAATTTTATGTATATCAATGTGATAATGTGAATATATGTATATTTTGTATATGTACATATATTATAGCTACCATAGGCCAATTGTTACTTTTGTAGGAATACATAATGATACTAATGATGTACATACACAAAATTAGTATCATCATTTTTAAGCCACTTTTCACATAATAAAAGAATATTACGTGCTTGCTGGTTGGATTTTTATAATACTGTCAACAGTATATGTCTAACGCACACTAAACACTGATCGTTTGTCCGACGAGAGAGGAGTAGCCTACCTTCCGCCGACGTATGCGTGAAAGAAAGGGAAGCCAGACAGACTGGCGCTGTAACGTGTTAAGTAACGAAGCGGTTTACCCTCCCATAAGAAGTTATCACTTCAAAAAGGTACATTGAAAAAATGTTAGCCCATTACACCCCTTTTGCAACAATAATCCTGGAACTGTATATCAGAACAGACAATTCATATTGATACTTTCAAAGAAAAAACTAATAAAATGTACAGTACTTTATTTGATGCGGTATATATGCCCCAAGGATACATATTTTTAGGAGCATCTTCGTATAAAAATATTAATAATTATCTAAGAAGACACACCCGACCTTAGATCTCTCGAGAAAATGGATTTCCAATTCCTCAGTCATGATTTTTCGTAAGAAACAAACGATAATTTCTCGGAGTGAAACAATAACTCGAATTTCGTAAGCAACCTCCATATAATTCGAGTAAAAGGACGGCATTCGATAATGGCAATTAAAAAATATTTAAAAATATACCTAGAAGTCTTACAAGATAATCTATTATACAAAATTCAACTCGAGGTTAAAAACGTCATTCCATGGGTAAGAAAAAATGAACCATTCCATTCTGTTTCACGAGTTTCCAGTTCTATTCCTTGACACCGTAATATTCGAACACGTCGTCGTAAGCGTCTGAAATCGCCTCAGATTCCACTAAATTCAGGCCCAACACGTTCGGATTGATGTCCGTTATGAAGAAGTCACTACCCAGGCCGCATTCGTTCACTATTTCTTGTTTGGAAACTGGAGGTGCCAGGAAATCTGGAAATAAATAAGGTATTCAAAAAGTGTAACCCACTATTTTACATCATTATGATATATTGATATGAAAATATTTCCCACTATAAAGACAGGGTTTTCTCAATGAAGCTTTTTACGGTAAGTTGATATAATTTGAACAACCTGACACATTCGTCCATTTCGGATTCAATTTCGATGTATGGCTTAAAAAACGAGAGTCAAAGCAATATAACTACCTTGTATGTTGACGTATAACATTTTGCGGAAATCGCAAAAAAGTTAAATTTTTTCAACTTTTTTACGATAAACACGACGCCATTTTAAATCGCACTTTTTATGCGATGTTCGTTCCAACATGAACTAGCCTTTAGATTCCACTAACGTCACTGACGTGACTGACGTCACTGACTATGATTTGAAACGTATTCGTGATAATTCAAAACTAGCGTGAGGTTGATCTCTCTCTCTCTCTCTCCAAATTTGTTGGACGTTGCCAACGTTGCTTCCCACTCGGGCGCATTTGTCCAGGCTCCTCCTATCAAATTGACAGAAGCTTCATCGGGGGGGCGGAGAAGAAGGGCGCAGCGATCTTGCTCGAAGTAATGCTGCCATCCCTTTTTTGTTGAGCTTTTCATAATAAAAAACAATTTGCTTTTTTATTGTCGCTTCCTGCTCAGGAGACCTTTTGATTTTTTTCTCATATATATTCATTGGGAAGCCTCCTCTTCGGAAGACCCTCGGATTTTTGAATTCAGATACATGGTCCCTTTACGTGGTTATCCGAACCACCCCGGCCTGGATACCGGCGTGAATAAAGGGGCCACTATCACGGCCACCACGAAACTCCCGTAAGGTTGGTTTTGAAACGGAATTTGACGTTACGTTACGTCAGTTGTCAGTTTCTGCTTTATTTTGTTGTTGTTGATCCATATTTTGAATAGAGAAAATAATGCTGGTACACTGGTTTCAAAAATTCAGCTACATTTATAATATTCATGCAAAAAATTGTATGCACCAATCCGATTGTAATTGAGATTAGAGAAAATTGAATAGTTTGTTTTTATTACTGAATTTGACATCAGACAAATTGAATCATTCCATTCTGTCGAATCTTATTATTAATACATGCTCGAATACGATTCGAATGTATTCATTTTGGTGTTGAAACGATGACGTCACATCAACTATGATTTGAAACGTATTCATCATGATTCAAAACTAGAGTGAGTTTGGTTTTGACGTTACGTTACGTCAGTGTTCAGATTCTGCTTTATTTTGATCGTTATAGTTTATAAAGTGCTGGAAAGTTTTTATAAAATACGTTGTAAGGTTGTTTAAAATGAAACTAGCTGTATGCACAAATCCGATTCTAATTGAGGTTAGAGAAAATTGAAAAGATTGTTTTCATCATTGAATTGGACATCTGACACAAATTGAATCAGTCCATTCTGGCCAATTCTGGCGAATTTTTTTGTTAATGGCGTCACTACGAACCGTTTTTGAATACTCTCTCGAATACGATTAAGCACAACTGATAAAGAAAGGTTCAATCAATTCGGTAGAAGTTTCTTCATCTCGATGCATAACTAGATTAGAACTATTTACAAAATATCCTATTGTAACGAATCTGAAGCCGGCCCTGACCGATATCTCAGCCAGCGAATGAACACATGACTCACCGCGAAAGGAATGAAGTCGAATGAATCGCTCCCGATTCATAAGGCCAACTTCTTCTCCCCAGATGGCAGTTGAGTTTAGAAAGCGAATCGAGCGGTTAAACAAAGAATTCAAATAGTGGAAGTGCTAAGTGTTGAATATAAATTAGTTGTGATAGTGAAATATTGTTAGAAATAAATTTGTTCAAGACAGTAAATTCTTTAATTCGTTACAATATAGAATGTAGTACTTAACTTTTACGGTTTATTACTATTTCTGGAGCACCTCTATTATTTGGTTATAAAAGCAAGTAGAATAAGTTGCTCTTCTCCCTGTTTATCAATGGTAGATGTAATATAACTAATCAGCAACTTTCCCACAACGGTTTTCAATACTAACCAAGCATAAAAATTGATATTAGGTTGTTTCAAAAGTTTTGCCATTTTGAAGTTATGTATTTTGTAGCTCCATATCTCAATATATTTTCATTTTACTATGTCGCGGTATATACTGATCGATAAAAAATCTTGTACTTATACAAAGATGCTGTTATTTTTTCGGAAATTTCAAGTTTTTGACTCTTCAGTTTACGACCATATAAGATGTCGTTAAGCGATTTTCAGCCAATTGAATGATCTACAGACATCTTCACGTTTAGAGGTAGGTTCTTTGCTTTTGCACAACCGAAACGATCCTTTTCTGGATCGGATCGTCACGTTTGATGAAAAGTGGATCCTACGTCAACAGGAGGCGTTCAGGATAGTGGTTGGACACCTAGGAGCAACCCAGGCACTTCTCAAAGGCGTAAAACCCACAAAAAATAGCTTGGTTACTTTATGGTGATCAGCGGCTGGCGTGATAACCTTCTGCAACCGGATCAAACCATCGCAGCAGAGTCCTGTTGTGGAAATCGACGAAAAGTATCGAAAATTTCGCCAGCAATAGCCGGCACTGGTCAACAGAAGAGGTCTGATCCTGCCCCACGACGACGTCCGTCTGCATGTTTCACAAATCACCGTCCAAAAATCAAAAGAATTGATCGTCGAAGTCCAGCCTCATCCACCATACTCCCCAGACCTCTGGCCAACCGACTACCTCACCGGTTGATTCTTCGGCAAAAACGGCCGTCGTCGAATCCCGAGCACCCACCTTTCATGCTGACGAGACTAATTGACTTGTGTTACGTTGGCAACAGTGCTCTGATTCAACTGGCGCTCATTTCGTTTAAATTGAATGAGCATTCACTGAGACATTACAGTTTAAAGTAGACTCATGAAATAGGACAAAAAGTGTCAAACAACCTAATAATTGAATTAAATATCGAATTAGAAGTTCTTAATTTTTCCTCATCTCAACAATATTATAATTTTAGTATCATTCATTCATTTTTATAGACTCATTAAAAGCTATTAACTGGAATGGGTTGAAATTACACAATCATTCAACTCTAAATCTCACTTCAAAATGATTCTCACCTCCTAAACTATTTGTTGTATCTTCTACATTGATGTACTGTACTTCTATGCTATTAGACTCCCTCTTTAAAGTCATTCCATCACTCTGAAACCAAAATATTCATAGTAGAAGATCTCAAAATTGTGAAATACCAAGTCCCTCACCTTTGTATGATGGTTTATTTCTCCTAAAATACTTTCAGTTGCAGCTTGCAATTCCTTATCGAAAGCTTCTTGTTCCTGGGCTTTAGCGTCTTTGTATGTATTTTGAATAAACTGAGTCATTCTTTGGCGCTGAGAAAAATAAATGTCAAAATGTCAAATGTCAACAGAAAATGTTAAGAAAACCAAGAGATTTGTTGATTTGACTAACAGTGTTCTTTTCATTGTTTCTGATGAAAAAAATTCAACTGTCAACTGTCATTGTAAGATTTTGTAAGACTTGTTTGTATTCGACTTGTACTTACAATTTGCCAGGATTTCTTGTCATCCCTTTGAGCAATAGTCCAGAGATGTCCAGCACCTTGAACTGCTTTACCACCTTTTCGAAAATGAGGGTTTATGGACAAGTTATGCCTCACTGAGTTCTTCCACCTATCGTCGTTTTGCTTATAAAAAGGAAAATGATCCCTGAAAATTCAACATCAAATGATTTTATGTTTTTTTTATGAAATTTCACTGTAAAACTAAGCAAACCACTCAATAGTTTTCAATGAGCATATGATAAATGTACTAAACTAACTCCATCCAACAAAGTAACCCAAACAAAGAACGTGATCAAACCATGATCATCAAGCACATTTGCATCTATTAGGTAAAATAAACAAGCCTCCTTACACTGGCCAATCAGATTTAACTGCAACTGGGAAATCACGTGTACTATGCATGATAATACTTTGGAACACTCTGTTGATAAGATGGACACCTATCTTTGTATTGTTTACAAACTCAGCAAAGCCATATATATTGTAACGAATCTGAAACCGCCCCTGACCAATATATCGGCCAGCGAACAAACACATGACATCACCGTGAAAGGAGTACAGTCGGCAACCGCCGGTTAAACTCTAATCGAGTACCGAGACGACTGAAGCATTCTAGAACGATCGTTACCGATATATAAGGCCGGCTTCTCGTCCCAAGAGGGCAATGGAGTTCAGAAAGTGAATCGAGTGGTTAAACAAGGAATTCAAATAGTGGAAATAAATTGAGCGTTAGTTGCTAAGTGTTGTAAATAAATTAGTTTGTGATTAGTGAAATATTGTTACAAATAAATTTGTTCAACACAGTTAATTCGTTAATTCGTGACAATATTGTGAGTTAAGAGTTGTTACAATGGAAATTTTAAAGATACTTCGTAAAAGAGATCTTTCAAACAAGACTATTCGCAATATAAAAGTGTCGATAGCGGTGACACTTTGTCAGGTTGCAACTATCAAGCAGGATGTTCCCCTAGGTTCAATATTAGGGCCTACATTTTTCCTAATGAATTTTTTTTTGTGGATGTCATGACTTTCAAAATTAACGAGCAAAATGGAATAACAAACACCGTTTCGTACGGTTCTTGAACATATTTAAATCTGTTGAAACGATATTCTGCATTGAAAATTGTGCTTCTCGTATGATCTAAGATTTAGGGCGAATTTCTGCAATTAGTTACATACTTTGCATGAACTGGGTTCAACGAAAGAGTACATTAAAAAATACAAAAAGTCTCATACGCATACTAACGGTTAATCTTAGGAACTAGAAAATATGAACGAATAACCCATAAATTACTGGAAAGTAACTGGTAAGCAATGCAAATAGAAGAACGATGAATACTGCCAATTTATTTAGAAAAGTAATGTAAAAACTGAATGGAATTACTCTGATTTTTTTTAGAAACCAACCCCCAATAATGGCACCTGAAACCAGTGATCCATGAACCAATACACGTGTCAAACGATTATAGCTGAGTAATCAGTATAATTACAGCGGGGACGTTGAAATTTGAATATTACTACGTGTGCCACGATAATGTGATTGTATTGAACTTCAATATAATGTATTAGAAATAGAATGTAATACTATCAAAAACGCGGGCCGCGGAGGACTCGTTATCCCAATGTACTTGAGTCAAAAAAATATATGATATAATTCGTAATTCAAAAATTTGACTGACGTGAAAACTACTTTGACGACATCTAAGAGAAATTTCGAGTTTGAAGTTGAAATTTTGAGATTAAAGTCAAAATTTCGAAATTCAAATTCAAATTTCAAGTTTAAAATCAAGTTTAAATTTAAATAATAAAAATATGCGACTCTTCTACGATTCTGATGTACATTCGACCGCATTTTCGGAACCGGCCTATTCATCATTCCCTATAGTTACGGTGATACATTATAACACTTGTTCTGGGCTGTTTTTTAACTACATTTTTGCAGTTCAAGTTTTCATTGTTTCAATAAGCATCATTTTTTCCAAATTTTAATTTTTGCCTCTATTTAGCTTATTATAGCTGCCGACTACCGTGCATAGTACATAGATAACTTTCTAACCGCTAGAACCTTCGACAATCAAGACCAGTCAAAAACGGCCTTCGTCGACTTCCTTGAATCCCGAGTACCCACTTTTCATACTGACGGAATTATTCGACTTGTGTTACTTTGGCAAACGTGCACTGACTCAAATAGCGTTATTTCGATTGAATTAAATAAGTAGTCCCTGAGATATTACAGTTTAAAGTCATAAACTCATAGAAACCGACAAAAGTTTTGAAATAACCTAATATAACAACCTAACCCTTCTTTTCTTCTTTTCATAACGAAATTTTGGAAGGGTTCACCTCTAGGGTAGAATACTGAAAGGGGATTGAGACATTTTAAGTGAAAAATTAATTTTCGAAAGGAAAAATCAGCGATGTCCAATTTTGAAAATATATTTCTCGTATGGTCATACAGACTTCATGCTATTGTAATACATCTTGCATGTAGTCAGGTATTTTCTTTATTAAAAGCATTCTGAAACAATATTTTAATTCCTAGTTATTCTATTGATGACTTATTTACTTTGTGGAAATCCGTATCAAATATAGAACAAACAAAATAACTTTTGTCTAATTTCCACTAAGATTTTTATTTGTTACGACCGATTTCGGTCCTAACTTGAAATATAGACCGAAACCGGTCGCAACAAATAGAACTCTTCGTCTTCTCTCTGTCCTATATTTATTCCTAGTTAAGTTATATAATTTCGAAGGCTCAAGCAACTTCAACTTTTTTCTCATCATAGCTCGTTATACTCGTATATAGTTCAAGTGAACGATATAGTATAAGATATATTTTTTACGTACACTTGAGAAAGGAATTTCGGTCAAAGCTCATGTTGCTTGTAATAGTTTGTTTCCCTCGAAACCAAACTTGAGATGTAGATTCTTATATACATTGAAACATACTCTGTGTTTCCAATATTCAAAT